CACACAAAGTAAGCTATATTATCACAAAAATACCATTAAAAAAACACAAAATAAACCCAAATAACACAATACAACCACAAAAGATTATCACAGAGACTAAATCAATCCAACAGGAGACAAAACCATAACAAAGACGCACAAAACAATCGTGAAAATCGCCACAAAGAGACGAATTCACACCAGAAACAGAAAAGGGGAAGCAGACATCCACCAGCAGCTCAGGAGATTCAGAGACTGATCACACAAAGGTTTAACCCAGAGCAGGTCTGAGGGAACATCCGGAAACTCTGAGGGACTCAATAACCAGAGAAACTGTCAGAGAGGAGAGAAAACCCACCAGAAGAAGAATGGAAGCAGCTATCAGGAGCAGAGAGATGAAGTTTAAGCTGATTCTAAGAGGAAAAGGAGCCTTTAGCTGCTTCTCTTTGGGGGTCTAACTAATGAATGACTGATGTTTTTCCTGACAGGAGTGGAACAGGTTTGTAAATCGGGCTGGTTGTGGGTTAGATGAGTATATTTAGCCGCCCCGGGTCTAGATAACCCGCCCGGCAGCGTGCGGCCAGTTTCCCGGTGAGCTCCGATCCTCTGACGTCTGCCTTCCTGCTCCCCTCCCATCCGGACGCGCTGGCTCCAGGAAGGCAAACTATTCATCCCACAACCTCAAAGGCTTCCCACTGGCCCCCCCCCCTCACGCACACACTGGTCAGCTCGGGCCGGTTCCGCCCTCGGGAACCCGCGTTCCTGCTCCTGACCTTCTGGCGCTGCTTTTGTTTACCAGTTATCCAACACTTTATGGGATGTGCTGGTCACTGCATGTGGTCAGCTACACCCACTCACAGCCGGAGGGGTCTAGGATAGAGTCTCAGAGGGTTCTGGTTGGAGTCCCAGAAGGTTCTGGGATCGGGTCCCAGATGATTTTGGGTTGGAGTCCCGGGGGAACCAGTCCCAGAGGGTTCTGGGTTGGAGTACCAGAAGGTTCTAGTTCGAGTCTCAAAGGGTTCTGGGTTAGAATCCCGGGGGAACCAGTCCCAGAGGGTCCTGGGTTGGAGTCCCAGAAGGTTCTGGGATCGGGTCCCAGAGGGTTCTGGGTTGGAGTCCCAGAAGGTTCTGGGATCGGGTCCCAGAGGGTTCTGGGTTCGGGTCCCAGAGGGTTCTGGGTTTGGGTCCCAATGGGTTCTGGGTTCTAGTCCCCGGGGGAACCAGGACCTTTCTGCCAGAGGGTTCTGGGTTGGAGTCCCAGGGGAACCAGGACCAGAGGGTTCTGGGTTGGAGTCCCGGGGGGAACCAGGACCTTTCTGGGTGGAGTCTGCATGTTCTCCTGTGTCTGTGGGTTCTCTCCGGGTTCTCCGGCTTCCTCCCACCGTCCAAAAATCTGCATGTTAGGTTGGCTGGACTCCAAACTGCCCTTAGTGTGAGTTTGTGTGGTTGTGGGTCCTTGTGTGTCTCTGTGTGTCCCTGTGATGGACTGGGGACCGGCCAGGGTGACCCCGCCTCTCCCCATTGGCTACTGGGATAGGCTCCAGCACCCCCTAGACCCCATTAGGGATCTGGTCCCTCAGGTCTACCCACAGAGCTCCAGCCCAACCCCAAACTGGACAAACTGGCCCAGGGAGACTCTGGGAGACTCTGGACGTGGGGATTTACTGGAGTCCCTGACGGGTTTCTGGGTGGAGGCTGCTGTCAGTAATCTGCTTAGCTCTGCTTTCTCTGCCGGTGTAAATATAGACCGGCTGATCCTCTTACAGGACGCCTTCGGCCGGGATTTGAGGTGCGTCGGCCGCGCGGCGCTTCCCGAAGTGTGTGAACAGAAATGTTCACGTGGGGGGGGGGGCGTGTTTTGTCTGTCGTCGGTCTGTCGTCCGGTGGGTTTTCGATGCTAAACCTGGCTCAGATGTTGCGGGAGGGAGTCCCACATCGTGCCTTTTCTGTGAATAAAAGGCAAACGTTTGTTTCCTTCTTTGACTTCATGGTGATTCTGCTGGAAACACTGCTCCCCGTGTTTACGGGGCTCCCCGGGCTGGATAAGCCTTGGGGCTCGTGTCTGTGGACTTCTAGGAATGTGGGAAACGACCAGCACCTGCTGTCCTATAAACCCCCCCACATCCAAGTAAATCCCTCTGAGTTCTGCTCACATAAACAGGGCCCATCTCAACCCAATGATAATGTCACTCAAAGCTCAACACGTGTATCAGAACAGCTGTTAGAAGCCTTTTCAGACTAAAAATGTCAGTTATTTCTGTGTTAAAGCCCAAAGAGAAGCAGCTAAAGGCTAATTTTCCTTTCAGAATCAGCTTAAACGTCATCTCTCTGCTCCTGGTAGCAGCTTCCATTCTTCTTCTGGTGGTTTTTCTCTCCTCTCTGACAGTTTTTCTCTGGTTATTGAGTCCCTCAGCTGTTCCCTCAGACCTGCTCTGGATGAAACTTCTGTCTCTTTGTAGATTTATTGGGTCTTTTTTTCATTCGTCTTGAGTCTGACTCATTTCTTTTTGGTTATTTTGTGTCTTTCTGTCTTGTGACGTCATGTGTGCTTCTGGTGTAATTTGGCCTCTTTTTGTGGTTATTTAATGTCTGTGTTGTGGTTTTGTGCATTTTTGTGAAAGTTTATGTCTTTTCCTGTTAGTTTCGTCTACATATTTTCCATTTTCAGCTAATAAGGACTTCTGACCTGATTCCTCCCGTTTTTTCTTCCCATTTCAGCCAACTCAACGAAGAACTTTCAGCCACTAAAACTCTCCTTTCTGTTCAGGAAAGACAGGAAATAAACAGAATTTGACATCTTCATTAGACATATTCATAATTCATAATACATTGATAACAATAATAATTTTATTTCAATGTTTAAACATCATTTGGGCTGCAAAGCTTCTCCTTACTGGAGTTTTAACCATTAGAGGCAAACGCAGTTATTCTGGGAAGCAACTGAGGGTGCAAACCTCCCACTGGGGGGGTGAATAATACATTAGCTTAGCTCTGTAATACAGGAACCACATAAGGTGAACTCATCACAGGAGCTCATTGCATTTTTAAATGATTCCTAATGCAGAGCCGAGGAAACGGAAGCCACCATAAAAAGCCAAGGAGAAGCCAAAGACAAACCTCTAATTTCCACTGAGCAGCTGAGGGAAAAACTAGCATGTTAGAATGAAAACAATCTGCTGTAACAGAAGAATGAAACATGTGATGAAGACTTTATGTTCATATTCGTCTCTATCCCTAGTCAGGACTTTCTCTTTTTGTTTTTATATTAAAAAAAAGAAAAATAACTTTTTGTCCAAGAGAAAAACATCAACTCGCTTTGATTAAAAAAACACCAAGACTTAACAGCACTTGTAAACAGGTGACATTAAGTTCAATAGTGTTCAATATGCTGACAACAAAAAGCTGTAATTTAGCCTAAAAACATGTAAAACCCTCTCACATTCCCCATGATGATCAGGGCAAGAAATGGTTTTAACTTCCACCTTTTTCTCAGTTTTGTCTCCTTTTTAGCTCTAAGTGATTTTGGAGTCTATTTCAGGCATTTATTGTTCATGAGCAACTCAAACTGGTGAAAGTAAACTCGTAAACTTGTTAAAAATTGGTCAGATTTACCTTCAGAACTCGTTCCAGCTGCATCCAAACCATCGAAGAGAAAGAAGACGGTTTCTCCACAGCTGCTGCGCCACTTAGAGGGATCAAATAAAGTAAGACACAGAAAACCGAATGAAGTGGTTGATCGTGTGTCAACTTTATTTAAATATTCACAGCCTCACCTACAGCGTACAGTCTGAAAACTCCCCAGAGATGCTGTTCAAATGTACAAAGTGAGGAGAAAAAAATATACATGTATATATATTTATATCTGTATATATACACAAAACAACAAAAGCCATATTAGAAAGAAGAAATCAACATTAATGTTGGTGTGGACGCCTTTAAGGAGGAGCCAGAGGTGAGTAATTTATGGTTAGAAACGCAGGTACACGAACCAAAACGAAGCCATCAGCTGGAACCTGCTGAGTCGTCATGATTCAGTCCGAAAACAGAGCAGGAGGTATGTAAAAAAAGAGGGAAATAAGTTAAGATGATGAGCGTCACAGCCTGTTGTACAGTCTCTGCCCAAACAGACCCCCCACCAATAAAACGGGGCCGGAAGCTCCTCCTCACCCCG